CCCCCACCAATCCCTGTCCCCTCACTACACGACCAGGGTTTATCTAGAAGGCTTGCTGGGATGCCCTGTCCTCCTCAAACTGCCATCTCAAAGTGTCTGTGTGCCGGCCCAAATTTGTGAGTAATGTCTCTCGCATTCCACTATCACTTTCACTACAGTCAAATCCATAGACGTGGGGGAAAGACAGATGGGGGGGGGGGAATGGTGAAATGGTATCGGTTTAACGCTCCTATCAACACTGTTAGGTTATTTAAGAGGCTGTACCTCCGAGTCTAATGTGAATCTCCGAAAGGACCGAGTCAAAATGGGAATTACAAAGGACGCAACGTCGGACCGAGCTAAGGCTCGAACCCCCAAACTCGCAACCTCACGATTACGTGTCTGGCAGCCTGACCACCAGATTGCCGACGCCAGTAGACAGATGGGAGGGGGGGGGACAGCATTCATTATGTCTTTTATAATAGGCAGGTACGGTATTGGATTTTACATTTCTGGGAAGTAGTTTTGAGACGGATTCTCCCTTGTGAAAGCCAGTTCCAGCTAAATGGAATGGTAGAGCACAAAGTTCCCCTATACATCATTGATTTAGAGAGTTACATTTTGGGATTCGAACCCATTTCGCTCGTAGTTCAGTGAATATATATCTGAACCTTGCAATCACTAGGCTACCATAGAACAAAATACGAATGTAAAGTAAGCATGCATGACCGCTGTCAGTCGAAGACACCCGACTTTGTGCTTCGTACAAGGAGACAGAATCCACAATCATATTTGGTCGCTTTTAAGCACAAGGGGCTTTCCAAAAACTGCTGTTTTGATATAATCGAAGGTAAAGTTTTTGCCCCTTGTTTAGTTTCTTTAAAAGACAAGGAGGGTTTTCTCTATAACCAAACAAATATACACACCAATGGAACCAAACTTCTCCTATAGGTAGGGCAATGCCCACTTTTGGTGTAGGCCAATATTTCTGGAAACCCCAGAGATCTTGGTTAGCCCGCTTGTGCTTAAAAGAAACCATTTATGACTGGAATCAGATCTGTCGTTCATTAACATCCTATGTTATGTTGCGCGTCTATGGAACAAGATCTAGGCACACACAAAAAATCCTGTTCTTGTTCAAATTCTGTGGACGAGACATACTCAAACTGTCTACTAGGCGCGGTCATTAGGTGCTATGTCAAGAGTTTTTCCACCTCCGTGGTTGAGTCGGAGGAGAAGAAGAAGAAGAAGAAGAAGAAGAAGAAGAAGAAGAAGAAGAAGAAGAAGAAGAAGAAGAAGAAGAAGAAGAAGAAGAAGAAGAA